GTGTTCCATGGTTTACTGTGAACTAAGTCTAATGCATTTGTGCCGAGCGGCACACTTATATAGCCCATGTGTAAAATAATGTTTCCTGTCCAGAAATAAATCAGCATTAGCTCCAGCAGTTATTTCTCTAAAAAGGGATTATGTCCTAGTAGTATTATTCTGCAATTAGTGGTGATCACTTATACAGCTTCCCACTGCATTCAACACACTATGTTTGAGGACAAGTACACAACTGCCAATACATCTGAGATTGCTAGTTTGTGATTGTGCAAACCTGAAATCAATGCAATGGCAACAACTCACACACATGTTGGCTGAATATGCTGACGTATTTGTGGGAGCAGGTTACTGACTTGATAAAAGAATAATCCAAAATCCCAAATTCCACAGATACAAGTGATACAAATCTGATTAAACAACTGCTCTGCATTCTTCCCTGTAACAATAAGGATTTTGCTAATGCTGAGATACATTGGATGTTAAGAGACAGGATCATATAGCCTTCAGAGAATACTTGGTCATCTCCAATAGTAACTGTAAGAGAGAAGGAAGGTACTCCCAGGTTCTGTGTTTTAAATGGGTGGATACGGAAACTCAAATTCAAAACTTTCCACTGCAGCAAACAGATGAATGCTTGGAAGCATTGAACGGGGCTCAATGATTCAACTCTTAAAATCCACAATTTGGATAGTGGCAAATTCAGCTTGATGATCAGTTACAAATATAAGACTGTTTAGCAAGAGACATGACTTAAATGAGTTTCATATCATGCCACTTGGTCTGTCTAACATTTTATATCATGCCAGTTGGCCTGTGTAACATACCTGGCACTTCTGAGAGGTCAGTAGAACTCACACTGAATAAGTTACAATGGGAGAGTTGCCTGATCCATATAAATATAATTTCCCAGTCATATTGTGGGTAGAGAAGTTTCTCCACAGATCTTGCTAAAATGGCAGTGTTACAAGACAGACCTCACACCATGACCAAGTGAGAAGTCCATATTTCCCATGGCTTTGCATAATATTACCAATGTTTTATGGTTAATTTCTCCAAGATTGCCACACTGTTACTGGCTCTCTAAGGTTGAGATGAATTTCAACTGGAGAGGAAAATATGGGCAAGCATTCCAGTCCCTGTACAGTAGTCCCTGATGGATACAACCCCTCCCAATAACAACTTCCTTTTAAATACAACATTTTTTCTGTGCATGGAACGATTTTACATTGATCTGACCTTCCATGAATGAATTCCTGACAGATGCGACATATGACAGTGATTTTGTGGTGGAAGGTTGAATAAACACCTCTCTATAATGACTTTTCTTCATATCAATAATGTAATTTACAGAGACACATGAATACAATATGGGACAAAAAGGTCACATGATTGGAGATTGTTTCACAGCTTAGTATATGTATCTTGGTATCTGGGATGTTCAAGTGAAACTCCTTGGTACATACATGTAGGTATTTTGGTTTTAAAACTTTCAAGTCCTGAAAGATGACCATGGAAGGTCAGAAACTGTTGTTTTCACTCCACTTGCAGAATTAAGGTTTATTCTTTTAGTTAATGTAGTAGATTTTGGACTAGTGGCCTAAACATTAAATAACTTGATTAGGATTTACTAGCAGGGTGTGAAGATTATTAACTCATGGTTTGTTTAGTGACAGACTCGACTAACCTGTGCAGCAAGCATGGCTAATAAAATGCCTCAAGGCATCCAGAGAAGATGTGAATGTTTCAAGCTGAGAACAGGAAGTTGTTGTGAAGGAGACTCGAGGTTATGATATAGAAATGTGACATGAATGTTGATATAGACCAAATCTGTGATGAAAGCAACAAAGTAAACAAAACATGTAAATTTAGGAATTTTAGTCAACTTGAAATTGTTTTAATGTAACATATTACATTTTATATAGTATTTGTATGCAAAGAGGATTACCTTATTAGGTATTGGCTAGAATCTAGCAATAATTTAGCTCAGATATTTATTCTTATTTTTTTACTGGTTTTTTTAAATTCGTGGAATGACCCATTTTGAGAGATGAGATCAAAGGATCCAAGTTTAAAGGTGAAATATTTGTTTAGGATGGGGCTGTTTCATTCAATTAAGATACATAGCTTCCAATGTTTGGTTCTTGGTTTAAGATTACAGCGTTTTGTATGGATATGCTGTGGATATTTTTAGTTGCAATAATGGTAAATATAGGATGTTTTTTATTATGTTTGGTGAATCTGGTTTCCATATTTCTTTCAATTTCTCTGATGTAGAAATCTGGACATTTATTGTATGTTACCTAATAAATTGATGCTAAAATCATGTACTGAAAACTAACAACAAAATGCTTCTTCATATAATAATTGCCAGTGACTTCATTAAATGTGCAAAATAAACAATTTTTCATGAAATAAATTTTGTCAGTTTGTAATATTTTATATGTATGTAATAAAAATGTGATACATGGATGTTTATGAAATAAATGTGATTAAATAAATT